CATGGGTGGCGAACAAGCAGCTAGTGTATTAGCACAAGTTGTGAAATCTAAGGATGAGACGGTAAGCTAGTCGTTCCAATCTCACCTTTTGTTTCTACTTGTTTCATTCAGCTTTTCCATCTCCCTTCATACAACATAGTGGACACCTGAGAAAGAAGAATCCGTAAAGGCACCAATTAGAGCTCGATACGAGCACGAAGGCCATCCATACTTTTCGTCGGCTCGTCTCTGGGACGATGGGGTTATTAATCCTGCTGATACGCGAAAAGTGTTGGGATTGTCACTGAGTGCTGCGTTGAATGCGCCAATTAAGGAGTCAAAATTTGGTGTGTTTAGAATGTAGAAGATAAGATACAAGCTGGACATGAGACCAAAATCCGACTAGATCTTATTTACTATTGCTATGCCACATCCAACGAACATCTCGTAAGATAGATGGCATTGAAGACACTGATGTTGGGCGTGTGCAAATTGTTTTTCTTTAATTAATCAAAGTTTCAAAAGTCTGGGATTGTTTCTGTACTTGCTATGGAATTATTATGTTGACAAGCCGTTAACATTGGTGTGTCCTGAGATATTCTACGCGTTTTTCGCCAGCCTTTTTGTCCGAGATTTATTTACATATCGTCTTAGAGCGCGTAACAATATCACAATCTTGGTGCTCACAATAAACAGATTTTTTTTGGGAGTAGCATTACCTTTGACATGATACATTGCTCAAGTCGATTAATAGTAAACTATAACTATCATAATATTGTAAATAGCATCGTCGATATGAACGTGTGACGTCATTTTCACACATTCGCGCGATTCCGTAGCGCACAGGTTTTCTACTCCATCTGGTATTATACAAAGTAAACAACATGGAAGTTTTTCACAATGCATTTTAAAAATCGGCATTCTTGTGATTTAAGGCCACATTAGACTAATTGAATTCACTAGATACTGTGGCTATTCGCCCTCATAATTTTTTTAATAAGAATTTTGGTACACAGTGGACCGGGACATAACAAACACGACGATGCAGACAATTTTTTTCGTTATATCGAGGAATTTGTTATATCCAGGTTTCATATACTGTACGTAATTATGGTATTGACATATGTACAAGTTCGGTTATACAGTACCCTTATCATAACGTAGTTGAATGTTTATATATTCAAATTTATTAAGCGCTGTTTCACATGCCAATTCCACTGTTTAGTTCTCAGTTTAGTCAAACGGACAGTTCTACTCCAAGATTTTTCTGGGCAATATGTGCCAAAGCGCTATCAATTATTTTGATTAGCCGAAAATACGCCTTCGTGTTTTTGGATCAGGTGAAAGTCTGAACTAGATATAAACGATACTTCCGTTAGATCACATATCGAGTTATCGTATGCTCTTTATAAGCGATAACATAATAATTACGAAATAAAATCGTTATACAAAAAATTGTCTGCAGTTGTCAGGTACTCGTCTTAATCGAGAAAAAAGAAATTTGGTAGCAAAATCGTCTAACATTGATAGATTCTTATTATTGAGATAATAATTGAACACTTGTTTTCGTAAGGAACGTATTGTTGAGAAATTAAGCACATCAAAATTTTCGATTTCCACATTTTCCTGGTTTAGTTGTCGGATAGATGCGCGTAAATAACGCGGCTTCTACTTACGGATATAATGGCCTACTATTCATTCTATTAAACTCGTTCGATTCTGAGTCGATATCTAATCATTTCTCATTTCCAGATACCAGAAATTATTCCGTTTAACGTCATACTCCTTTCACAAGTTTTTCTGAGACGGTAGAGAGCTTAACACACGCATCCTGGATATCGATTTTTTACTGGTGGACATCACACAAATGTATCAGTATAAAATGAAATAGTAACCACAAAAATCGTTATATTCGTTCTGAGTACTGAATGGTATGCCAAGTCGGTGGCCACATCGCTAAGCATCGACACTACGGGCTCCTATTGTCGCGGTGTGAGCGGTCGCCTCGCAAAGAAAACTGCTGACACATAATAACGAATTCTATTTGCAATGAAGAAGTGATAAACTTTGTATAATAAATCAGTGGTTAAAAAAATCGCAAATAAGGTAACATTTGCTATTCTAGTTGATTTAGTTAAAGGCGTCTGACAATAACATACTAAATTTTTAAAAATTTAAAACATAATAAGCAGTTAATATTATGCATCACCTTTTTAGAACGTAACCGGATGCTTTCAACCAATTTTTGTAACCAGTAATTTTGGATGGAAAAAAGGGGGTGGAAGCCCAAACTACTCTGCAAGATTAAGTACAAAAGTATTTTTTGCTGAGCGTCATATATTTTTTTTCCTGGACCGGTAATTATTCGTTTTGGGTGTAAACACGTTTGACATAACCGAAAACACAATACTCCAACTGACAATTAGCTGAATTAATCCAGCGGCAAAAAATTAGGAAATCTGCACGACTATCGAGGATTAGTGTGCATTCCTCATTGAGAAAAGGTCTCAGGTTAAAGGTCACTAACTGTTTTCTACGAGTGGAAGAACCACACTCCATTTGAAAATAGCTCAATCCTCTACAAGTTGGCGGAAAAGCCATTTCCGCTGTCTGTCCACTTTGGGCAAGAAGCATCTTGCCAATATGTTAACGTCAAGTCGGATGAACCTTTGGGTATTTCCAAAAACGTGACTTTACTGCGGAAGTATCAAAAACGGAATATCGAAAGATTTGATCGCTCCTTTCAATATTGACTTGATGTATTCGTCATCCCTGGAACCTTTCCCTTCACATGGTTTGGTGCACATATCGTTGTATAGGAACGTAAAGAATGCGAAAGAATTGCGCAAACGACTTCTTTCTCGTGATCTAGAATTAAGTTATGCTTTCATTGACGCAAAAGTAGTAAGTAATGATTTGAGACGCTCATCCTTTAAATTCCCGATAATACGTTCTAATCTTGATCGCACGATAGATTCTTGACAAATTCCAGGTTCTCGTGGCATCTAACATTGCAATATACAACGAAACACACCATAAGCTTAGAACACACAATGTCCATTCGGAGATTGTGTACAGTCTTTCTCCAAGCACGAATGTATGCATAAAGTTTTAAAATTTACTTCATATATAACATGTTCACTTATTTTCTCGTGCCTGCGATTCGCTTGATTTTTTTTTTTTTTTGAAAGATTCGAGAATCGTTGAAAAATCACGGATTGTCTGACGACACTACTGACGTTGTCATAGTCAAAGTAGGAGAATCTGCTGAAACTATACAAACACATTTAACAAAAATTATCAAAGGAGAGGAAAGAGATGTGGAGGAGATGACCGGTTGTGTTGACCTGGCAAGGGTGAAGAAGGTGAGTGATGGATTTTGCTTTCTTTTTTTTTTTAACTCTGAATTGGAGATGTTTCAACTGTCATGTACTAATGTTATATTATCAAGTACTACAAAATAGCAGATAGCATTTCCGATCGAGAAGAGTTACTTAAAGCCGTCGTTGGCTCCATTGCCATTAAAAATCTCAGTTGATAGTAAATATATGCTTGTAACATTTATTAATCTTGAAAAAAAAAACATGTTTCAGTAATTTAATTACATAGGCTATATCCGTCCTTTTTTTTTAACCAGTTTCTCATGCTAGCGAATTATCAAGACACTGATACATGTCCGATGACATCCTCAGGATTTGTCGTGAGAAAGCTGAATATTCTGTGACCGCAAAAACTGTACAAGTTCATTCATGGTTTCTACATAATCACTAGTATCTTCGGCTCTCGTAAAATCTTCGCTTTCTTCCCCATTTTCAATTTCTTCAGCTTCGGCCCCACTTTCATTTTTGTTTTTCTTTTCGTCTAGTTGCTCATCCTCCTCTCCATCCTCCTCTCCATCCTCCTCTCCATCGTCCTCTTCCATACTCTTCTTTTTCTCTAACTCACACATTTGTATTATATTTTTCCAAACACTTGTCTTCTCAATTTCTGCTATATTATCTTTCACATAGACCATGACTTCTCTTTTGATATCTTCGTAACTTCTGACCTTTTTAAGCAAAATTTCCATAACATTATAAGGAGTGAGATTCTCAATTAGTTGCATCTTTGCTATATCACGGAGGGAAGTGACAAGGTACTTGTCAGATATGAGAAGCATATCGTATGGAGTGGTAGGAGTTGAGTCATCTTCGGCAAAATGGATAGTATTGGTATAGAGAAATTGGACGAAAGCATAAAAAGTTGTTGGATGAAAGTCTGGGACGTGAATAGTGTATTTTGTTAAGTGATCCTTATCATCAGTGCTGGTATTGATGCCATTATTCGTTCTATGTTCACGGTCGTCATCCATGCTTTGTTCTACGCTTTCGTCCTCACTTTCGTTTTTATCATTCTTATAATCATTTTTACGTGTAGTCTCAATCCACCGTCCTCGAAACAATCCTCTGAAATATTCTGATCTCTCTTCCAAAATCCAACTATGTGCAAAAATATCTTCATCTCCGATAACAAACTTGACATCTGCTGCTTCTTGTAAATTGTTCTCTTTATTGCATCTGCTCCGCTGTGCAATCTCCAACTGTCTTCCCAATGCAAGAGCTAGTTCCTCTGGATACGGTTCCGGAGGAAGGGGATCACTGTGGAACGTAGACTGCAGTGATGTGCGATCGAAATGGACGCAGATTGTTATTTTTTCAGGAAGTGCATCAACGCGACATATTCGTTTTGTACCTTAAATAGGGGGATGTTTATCGCGTTGAAATATAGTGATGTAATTGCGACGACGTCTATATACTAATATGTATTATTAAACCATAATAATATCTTTACCTTGCCCTTTCCAACGTAACGAGAATCGGTCGGTACGCGGCTTAAACCACCCGAGATAAGCATTATTTTCAGTATCTTTGATAGAGATTATGGCAGTATAATCTCTTCTTCTAACCCAGTTTCCATACGTCTTCTTCTCTTCTGACGTCGGAATAGCGTAAAGAAAGAGAGCAGAATAGTCTGAATTTTCAGGAAATGTCTGATTTGTAATGATAGTAAGAACATTGATCGTAAAACTCGATTTCTTTGTCGGGATTGACAATATACGCACCTTGGTGAATTTCAACTGCCAGAATAAGTCATAATCAGTTGCGAATGGCGGAGTATATACGGGATCTTTCAGCGTATCCACATTATCAATCGTGAACTCGAAGTGGCTTTCTACGTTGGTTGTCGTCATATCAGTACTTATTATGTCAGTCAAACGAGACCTGAACGTGGGGAGGTGACAGAGTAGTTGAATTTATAATACCTGCGCAGTTAGCTGCGGGACTGCGTATAATTAATCTACTGGTTCGTTCATATGACCTGTGTTTCATTGCCGCGCTGCGGAACAAATAAAAATTTACGTGATCAACGTACAATACTAATACAAATTTTACCAAAAAGAACAAAACTTAAAACTATTGGTTGAGGGAACGAATAATTATAATTACCTTTTATGTGGTCTTTACTTGAAAAGATGAAAAAGGATAATAATGTTAACATTACAATTAATAATGATATGTTTGCTCACATAGGAAAGCATTTGTATCCAAATTTAGCTCTAGAACTTATGCGTCCGCGTCAACCAAGACGTGGCTAAATTTGCCAGGCGGCTTTTTATATCTCCTATTGCTAAGGTGTAAATTCTCACTCTAATGTTGTGCTAAACTATTTAATAAAATAAATAAAAACGCTACACTGATGGTCGAACTATGTCTATTGTGATATTACAGCGTCCGAATAAGACATCGAAAATCTAGCGTCAGTTAAATATTTTTAAATCGCGATATACGATAATACACTCAGTCGTTTCTTCATCCTTCAAATCGATCATACCAATTAGTTTTACGGTCAAGAGAATGTAAATAGTAGTCTTGTCAGGAATGTTTGATGTTGCCAGTTTTTCCGTATTAGTATTGTTCAATAAATAACAAGTTAACATAATGATGATGAAAACTGTTTCTACGTTTTTTGCTAGCTATATTTTGTCTTCTAATTACTTTTTTTTTGCTTTGCCATTGTATTCACGCAGAGATATTTTTAAATTCTCATTTTTTTTGTTCAATTTTACTTTTTAACTGAGAATTATTTGCTTTATCTTTTTTGTTCCTTTAATATTAATGCTTGTTTTTTAGGTTTGAAATGTCTTATCCTTTTTATTTAAATAGTAAGCTTCAGGATCTCTCAAATTTTTTGTTCGCTGACAAACTTACTTATTACTGGCTTTATTATTATTGAGTAGTCTTCGTTTTGTTTTTGCAAACTGGTTTTGGAAAATAACACAAGAGTAATAACAACATCTTTTGTATCCGAAAACCTCCTAATTCTATCATTTTTCTTTTTATTCATTTTTTTACTTGCAGGGGAATATAGAAACATGGCAATTAATATTATAAGTTCTTGCAATAAGCATTCGTCGTTGCATTGAATTAATAATAAATAGCGTATCTCAAAATTTCTTCTTTCGACAAAAGTATTTATATTATTATTATCTGTGGTGGTTGCATAAACTTTTTGCGTTAATTCTACTTGCTCAGGGTACTTTGCTCAACATTCATTCTGTAGCTTTTATCTGTATTTTGGAACCATGTGATAATATGAGGAGAGTTTTGACCAGAAAGTGTTCCTATTGGTATGAAAGCCTGCATGGTAAACTATGACAACCAGATTTCGCGTTCCTTTATTAAGAACTGGCATGGCATGGCTATAAAGCATGCATCTTTAATATGCTCAGCCAGAAAAAAGTAATGGAGGTGCTTGATATCATGAAGTACAGTATGGTTGTTATGGTAATAGTTGTAATTATACTTGCAATATTCAATTCTATGCGTAAATCTCAGTTTTGGCCAAGGATATTCTATAAAAAAAGGTTTGACATATTTAATATTAACATGAGCTTCCAGCTGACCGCCATTATTTTTCCATTGTGGGAATTCACCTCATGTATTATTAAGCTGTTTATCAGAGCACGGTATGTCGCATACACTCATACATATGCGTCTTGTACAATCTGTAGAAGAGTTTGTTAATAATATCAGCGGTTGCTGTGTGGCGGGGCCGTAACTCCACTTTGGACTATAACAGTTTTCCTTCAATTAGATAACCACAAACCCTCGACATTGATAGCAATAATGCTTAGTTGTATGTATCGTACTTATGAATACGTATTAATTTATTGTATGTGTGCTAAATGCATACGCTATTCGTATGCTTTATTAATGACAGTAAGTCCCTGAGCGTTCAGCGTACGGGTGACTAGTGAAGAACGCTGAATTCCTGCTGAAGGCTAGGTAAGAATTTATTAATCTTCTCCCAAGTAACATTCCAAAGTTCACGTTTCATTGCAATCATGTTTGCATTTGTGGGCTCTTCTTGCTTCTCGTTAGTCTCACGCTGAAGCACGCCTGACGTTGACATAACCAACAACATATTCTTAAGAGATTCAGGGATGGCTTCACTCTAAATAATAGTATCGACACATTAATACGTGCAATTGCTTGAAGTCGCTCAAGTGAAAACTTATCACTATATATTACCAACGAATCATTGTCTCCAATTGCCATGTATCGTTCCATCACGTCTAGTATTTGCAACCATAGAGTAATCAACCCTCTCCATTCGACGAGTCTGTTCAAATAGTGCAGGAAAATCTTGCATAGAAGGGCAGATGCTCGCATTCGTGTCTCATCCATTCCTACTGGATCCCTATTAAATATCTCTGGCTCCAGTAGCTGATCCAACAGAGGGAAGAGAACGACATCGAAAATAACCACCCATTCAGTAAGATTGTATGATGCCAAATCTGGATTAAGTAAAGCGCGTTGGAGGTATGTCATTGCGGTTTGCCGCACCTCGCGACATGAGTTGTAACATTGCTGGCTTAATCCCGTTAGAATAGGTAACCAATATGTCGACCAAACTATTAAAAATTGACTAACGTTAGTTGTTGTCTTTTGAATAGCATTTGCATAGGAAATTGGCATCACCTTCTCCCATTGGGGTTTGTGACACACTCAGGAGGCGTGGTATTTCTGTATAAAGTTGATAAAGAAGCTCCACAGACTTTTGTGCCCTTTCTAAAATATCCGCTTGACTTGGGATACGAAAACAGTCAACAATAATTCATGCAAAATATACAGTCTACTAATAGGCAACTCACGTCGTCGAAAGGTAAGTCTTCGCATTCTTCTCTGGAGACCCTTCTCTTTCAACCAAAATCCCGGCAGCAGACGCGAACTCTGTCAGCAATTCTACACTCTCGTTAAAGTTGTCACTATTCACGTTCTCGCTCTCGTTGATCAGGACGAGTGTGTCAAATGAATATTTAGATGCCTGAGGATGAGTCGAATTTGCGCGAAGTAGACCGAATAAAGTTTCCCATGAAGCTTGGCCCCTATATGATTTCGTATGAATATCGATAGGAATTGGCAAATGACCCTTTATAAACCCAAAATGTGATTACCTTATATAAGACGAGTCGGCTTTAATTAGATTATATACTCCAGCCATCATTTGCTCGCCCACAGAATGTATTATGTCAGTTGGCAATGCCCTTAACAACTCGAAAGATCGGAGAACGTCGGATACCATTTCCTCCTTAAAGAAAACTCGATATATTTAGCATCGATTTCCTCATCCAATTTGCGCGTAAATTCTGCTATGCAATACCTTATGCGTTAGCCGAATAGATAACCTTAGCAAAGCGACTACCGTACGCTCTACCAATAGAATGCTGTGATTCGTAGAATCCTTTAATATATCTGCAATATGTTCGAACAGTATTGGCCTACAAATAACCATTACGGTGAGTATGGACGCTTAGTCTAACGTAATACATTGAAACACTGAAAAGTGACGTGTAGGCTTTACCATAAGGACTGCACTCGATCTCGATTTTGTAGAGTAACATTTATCATGAGCTCAAGGAAAAATACAGCAGCCGGGTCATACGGCTTGGATGGAGCGTTGCCCTGCAAATTTTGGTTGGACAATTCTTGCGATACGGAATTTCGTGAATTTAGAGAATCGGAGGGGGAGTTACCATCTGCAATGAATTTAAGCGCCCTCATCAAATATTCGAGCGACTCCTGTTGCAGTAACCTAAAAGAAAGTGTCAAAGTTAGTGACGAAATGCAACAATCCCTATAAAGAAACACAATTACCTAATGTCCGCAAAGAGCTCTTCCAGACGACAAGCTGCGACACAATCAACAGTACACATAGTGCATTCAATTTCTTCTTTGGTTGGTTCGCTTCGGGAGGACTCCAAAATTCCAGCGTTTTCAAGCAAGTAGAACAAGAGTGATGAATTCCCACGGGTTCGCTCATCTCTTATTGGTAAGCTTTTGGGTTTTAGAGGTATAGTGGTCGTACCTTCTAAGAAATCTTCGACTTGTGACATGGAACTCGGTAACAAGGAATTAACAAAGAGATTCTTAATTATCTCGAGAATCTTCGATATAGATCAAATTACGAACATAGAAGCTTGGAAATTAGTGTACGCTCGAATGTATTTAACGAATAAAATTGGTGCCATTTTACGTACAAATTTCCAACCGTCCTTTAACACGTTCCCATATTCGTTGGCGATGGCAAACAAGACTACGGCTGCAAGCTGGCCCTTATAGTTTCTTCCAAACTGAATGGACAAATCACTAATTGTGACATCAATATCGTTAACGTTTACGACAGGGTTGTTGGCTGTTTCATTTGAATAACCCTGTCCAAGTAAGCCAGTCATCTTGGCAAGTGTCATAATTATATAATCGAATACGTCATAAAGCTGACAGTTCGCCGAAAGGAGAGCGCATTGATGGAATCCGGTAATAGCTTTCTGCAGGGTCATATCGTCAGGAGCGGAAGTAAACGCTAGACATAGACAGCATATTGAATGTTTATGAACGCAAAATTTAACGCGGGCATCGGAAAGCAACTTATATGAGGCACTTACCGTAAGAAATAGCCGTCACTATCGGTTTCCATGTCGTTATAAACATGTCTTTGTCATATAAAGAGACATCGCATATTATAAGGGGACCTGGCAAATTCGCAAGTTAATTCCAACTGTCCTTTGAACTAACGGTTTCCAAAAAAAAGGATGATGAATAGTTACCAGCTGCTTCTGTACGATGTATCAGTTCTTTCCATAAGTAATTAAATCCAAGTTGTCCTTCATGTTCTTCTGGCATTACAATTTCTCGTTTCCGAATAGCATCATAAATAGCTCGCTAAAAGTTTGTATAAATACATATCCTTCCTTTATATGGTAAGAATGATGAAAAGCAACTAACCAGGTATTCAGGGTCGAAATCTTGTCCACTATTGACATTTCGAAGATTTCTCATATAATCATCGAGACTCATACGGCGCTGACAATGAAATTATACGTTGAATTTTTTTTTTTCATTCGTTCAGAAGACCAATTTGTTATTATCCGTCCACTTACTCGAACTTGTGGATTGTGTAAATCGGTATTTAACATTATAACAGAGTATGACAGTACAAACGTAGCGTCTTGAGTAGCTATTTCCGCTGCAATATACAAATAATATGCAAAACCATTAGAAAACTTCGATATAATCGC